TGACATGATTTTTTTCTGTATTTTTTCTTACTAGAAAAGGAGAAATAATCAAAGATGATTTTAAATAACTTTCAAGAAGTTCCTTCAATTAACAAGTGTCCCAGGTCAACACCACTTTGAGAGCTTTTTCCCCAGCGACCCCAGTGGTGCTTGCTGAGCAGCAAGGAGTGATTGCAGCGAAAACCATGCCGTGTCTATATTAAGCAGGGCTTGGCTGGATACAGTCAGTTTATGGAACTACTATGCTGCTCTCTTTTTGGCAACTTGAGTCAGCTGTGCAAATCCATCTGACATTTTAGTACAGCTGCTTAGGTTTGCCAGTGAGTAACAGGTCTACAGAATCACTGTGGGGAAAAAGAAAAAAAAGGATTCTAATCCCATATGCATTCACATTGTCATACACAAGTTCATGCAGCCCATACACAAGTTCATGCAGCCCATACACACATACCCCAATACAGAGGGGAGACCACTTCTATTTACTTAAATGATTAAAGCAACTTACAATATTTCAGAAGGAAAATCCAACCAACAGCTCGGGTTCTACTAACGTGAAAATTTCATTTGAAGGAACTTGCCTCTTCACTACAATGTGACTCTGGAAGCAAATAAACCTGCACACAGCAGAGCAGAGGTCTGGCTGTGTTTCTCATCTGCCGTGTAAGCTGAACCTTTGCAAGATGTCCTATTTGCATCTAGATCCTGTGATCTAACAGGTGGGGACAACCAGCACTTGAATTTCCACTGTGAGTAGGGAGTTTAATATTTTAAATAATTGTTTTTTTAATTAATTATCTATTCAGCCAGGATAAATTTAAATGGATCTAAACCGAAATGTAAGAAAAAAAAAAGTACCAGAAGAAAGCATGAGAAGATTTTTCTCATAACTTCGGAGTATGGCAATATTTTTCAAATGGCAGTATTTATCCAAATGACAAATGTACATTCCTTTGATCTAGCCATTCTACCTTTAGAATTTTTTATCCTACTCTTTTAAAAATTTAAAAAAATTTTTAGAATTTTTTCATCCATGTTTTTATTCTATAGCTATATTCCCATGAGTAAAATGACAGGTGTACAAGATTATTTAATATAGCAGAGAGAAAAATAGTGTACTGTATATTATTATTTGTGTGATAAAGGGTAAAAAGAATATGTGTATATGAACAAATCTTATCAGCATAATTCATCCTTGGAAAGGTACACAAGGCCAATAACCTGGGATACTTTTGGAGAGAGGAATGGGTTGCCCAAGAAGGCTGGGGAAAAGACTTGTTACTGTATACTCTCTTATAATTGTCAAAATGTGAACTTTGAGAATACTTACTAAAAATACACATTTATTGCATAAAAATTAGGATAACACAGGGAAGCACAAAGAAAAAAAATTCCTTTTATTTCACCACAATAGGCTATTAGTATCAACATTTTGGTTACGATTGCTATCCTTTCTTCTAGGCATATGAACTCAATAATCTTTTGTCACTTGTTTTCCTTTTTTCCTTACAAAATCAGGGTGTTTTTTTTTTCTAGGCTATTGTATATTTTACTATTACATAATTTTTAATAGCTCCTTGGTAGGATTCTTTATATAAATGTACTGTAATTTATGTAACCAGTCTCCAATTGTTGGGTATTTGGACTGCTTTCAATTCTCACAAGCACAAAGCAGTTCTTCAACAAACATCCCTATAGCTCAATATTTGTACACATGCAAGGCTATTTCCTTAAAACAAATTGGATCTAAGAAGTAAAATTGCTGGGTCAAAGAATTAGAACAATTAAAGGCTTTTAATCTGTATGGCTAAGCAATCCTCTCAATATTACGTATATTTGCAAATTATTTGCAAATTTATTTGCAAATTATATATATACTATTTCGATATTATATGTAATTTATGAATATTTATAGTATATATTTATTATATAATCAAATAACATATTCTTAAATGTTATATTAATATTTGTAAATAAAATTGATAATTTTGGCATATTTTGTTTTATATATACACATACACGTGTATATATATAACAAAGCATATGTGAAAAAAATCAAGTGTGACAAGTTTTAAATAGATGTTCTAAAATTTTCTTCCTACCCCAGGGGTTTATCTTGAACTCTCCAAGGTTCTTCATGGTTAAATTATTCCCCAGAAAGATATTTAAAAATTTACCTAAATAATCATTTTTAAAGTAAACAGCACAGGTACATGGTGGCAAATTACCATTTAACACGGGTCAGATTTTCCTTGTGTCCTTGTAACAGGGAAGTAAAAGCTCAGCCTCACTGGACGGGGAGGTTTGTAAACCACTTTGTTGACCGATGATTTGCAGGTGCTTATTTCACAGACTTAGTTTGCAATATGGTGGTGTAAAAAGACTTGACCAAAAAAGAGTTTTGTGTTCAAGGAGGATTGGGAAAAGTTATATTCTACATTCATCTCTTCGAGATTTGTAAAGTTTATGACCTTTTAGATACTGGGAGAAATCATACAGGAAAGAAACCCATTTGTTTAGCCCAAGAGTCCCCAACCTTAGTTAATTCATACTTTTCTTTCTTTCAAAAATTACTTAGTAATATTCAATGCAATTAACTTCCCCAAATTCATACTTTGGGAAAAGCTGATCTAAATATAAAAGAGGAAGATCTGGAATCAGTCTGCTGGATTCAAGTCTCAGCTCTACTCCTTAGTGGTATCGGGCAACTTAGTAATCCAAGTTTCCTCATCGTATAAACGGGATTTGAGAATATTCACCACATGCAATTATTGACAGAATTAAATGAGGTTTTATATATATAATATATATATATATATATTAAATAGGATGGTACATGACATAGAGTAAGCCCTCAATAAATGTTAAAATTACTCTTCTTATATTAAATGGATAACCACAGAAAAATCTAAAAACAAAGGCCATTACAGAATACATTTTATAAACCACTTCCACAATAGAAGCCATTATATTAATGGCAATAAACAAAAAGTCTTAAAAAAATCTTGTTGTTTTTACAGAGAGCAACTTTGAAATTTTTAGATGAAATTGTTTATAAAGAAAATAGAAAACCACCATCTGCATGTAAATATAAAGCTCTCCCAAGAAAATGGTCTGACTTGCTGCTTGCGAGCTTTCAGATTTAAATTATATTCTGATGAATTCCGCTTGCTTTAATGAGACCAAATGTGTTTGATGATCAAGCAGATTTAGGAATATCTGTAAGAGGTGCTCCTTCAGCTAACTTTCGTTTTGCTGAATCAGTTTATGAAGTGGGCATATCTCTCCCAGCTGCTTCCATTGTGCATTTTATTCATATGCTGACAGGAAGGATTTTGTTGGTATAATTAGCCTCATTTGACACACAGATGATTTAGTTGTGCTTTCCCTTAATGATTTTCTGTTGCAGCCACCTCAGCAACTTCTCACATCAGAAGCCAGCTATGATACCAAAATAAGGAGCTAGCTGGAGGATAAATAATTGATTAAATTTTATAGCCAGATAGGGCATCCCAGATCTAAATGTCTGGCAGAGGTTAAGTGCATGAACGCCTTGGCCCCTACCCAGAAGCTACTGAATTGAACTCTCAGGAATCTGTGTATTTTTAAAGGTCTCCAGGTGATTCTGCTGTGTAAAAGAAGTGTGAAAATCACAGAGCTATTACAACCCACTGATTTTATGGATCAGGCTTAGAGAGCTTAAGAAACTTTGCATTTGATGAGGTTTAGAACACACCACCGCAGAATATGGCACATTGGCATATTACATATTTTAAGCTGAAGGACTATGAGAAATGGCAGGTCAGGAATTTGAGAAACAGAAGGTGCAGAAAAGACTCACTGACTTCCTCTTTCTCCCCTGAAGAAGCTCATCAGACCTTAATGTGAAAGGTGCCCTCTCTATACCTGGAGAGAAGGAGCATCCTTATCTCTGAAGACAGAGGGACTCCAAGAGGAATCTAAATGAACAGGTTTTGCTAGTTTCCCCAGTTCAGGATCTTGCTCACTCATACCCTTTGTCCTGTCGATGTTTTCCCATGACTTTCTACTCTTCATCTAACCTAGTAGAAAAACACTCAAGTTTAACATTTCTTGGGGGCTTCATTTCCCCACGTGTCATGTAAAACTTATATGAAGTAAATTTGCATGCTTTTCTCTTGTTAATCTATCTTTAGTCTGTCCAATTTACAGGGCCACGCTGGAGAACCTAGAAAGGTAATAAGAAAAAGAATTTTTTCCTTCCCTATTTTGAGCAAGTCAACCTCTGGGCCACAGTTACTTCATCTGTAAAAGTGGGATAGTAAATGTACCTGCTTTATAGGATTTTTGAAAAATCCAAATGATATAATCTACGGTAAACACTTATTAAATATTAGTTATTATTATACCTTCACAAATGAACTAATTGTGACTCTTTTCTGCCTAGAAAGTACCTGATACTTAACAAATATTGTTCAAAATTGAAAAAATAAATGGCTTTTTAATTTTATTCTTTCAAACAGCATTTAGAATATATGTAAAAGAAATGTGTAAAGCTTGGATACACTTATGAAAAGTCCCGATTCTAAAAGGAAGCATTTCTTTCTTAGATCCAGTTATTTTCCCATCCCATTGTTATCAAAGATGGTGGAAGACTGTTGATAAGTCACCTCTATCTCCATGCTTCCCAGATATTCCTCTTACAAATGCTTCCCAAACATTACTAAATAAATCAGTTCTGTCCTATGGCATGCTGTTTGCTTACTCAATTCCATTTGGATCACCAAGACTCTGGTCACTGGCTCTAAATTGGTTGAGGATTTTATGAGAAATGCCTGGTTCTCTCTTCAAATTTCCCATGGCTGCATTGCCTCAGGAGGGGCTCTCAAATTTATGAAGCACGTACTTCCCTGGAGCCAAAATACCCAGCCTGTCTGGCTTTTACCAGACTTCAGAGCACCTTGAATTATAAGAGAGTATTTA